GTAACTTCTCTGTAAAGAATTTGTGTAAATGACTGGTAACGTATGTATATTTATGTGCAACTTTTCCAACATCAAGGGTCAGATTTATCCATCCAGTGTAAGTTTTATTTGTTTGTCTGTGGTATATCTGATAAATGATCCCGTCATAAATAACTCAGAACTTGGTTGATTAGTCGTCGAGATCAAACATCACTAAAGAAAAATAAGATTATGATATTGACTTTTCACATATAGTGTAATTCACTTAATAATTCCATATTTATGAATTCGATTTTGATTTACTTGCTATGTTATATTGAAAGCTAATGAACTACTACCCTACGTAGAGCATAAGGTTGAATTTGTGACCTTTTAGTTACAATGCAAGTACCATAACCACTACTTTCCTCTGTTCTATACATACAACACCGATTACCACGATGTGCAATGCTAACCGGTGTTCGGGATGGTTGGAAGAAAGTTAGGGGCGGCCAAACCAAAACTTGGCATCAGTCCACAACGTTACTAACTTCTAGTCTGAACCATGTTGGTAGATGCACACTACTTGATTGGGATCTGCGTGACTAAGGATCAGAATCGATCACAATAGCGTCGATGTATACACTATCTATCTTCCCTTAAACTAAGAGATTAAAATCGCTTCATATCTTTCCTTCTACCAACTAATTCTTTCTTTCTGTACTATATTCTAATATGTAATCTTTCTTTTATATATTACCATCATCATTGAATTAACAACTTTTATGAATCCGGTGTCCATCTTGTTGTGTGAATGAGGTATGGCAACTTGAACCGATGCATATATGTGCCTGATCTTATATTGTAACTAACTGACTGACTGACAACATGGTAGTAAACCGTTAACTAATTCAATGCATCAAGTAATTTGAAATTTAGCTAGGAACATTTTCTTTTTTACAACACAATTTTACTTCAAATAAGATTCCATTGAATTTCAACATCTTTTTTTTTTTCTTACAATCATCTCATCCATCTTTCTCACCTTCTTTTTTATTTTGTTTTGTTTTAGATATTTGAGAATAAAATCAATTATTATCGTAGTCAAATACATATACCAGAATTATTTAATGCTGGTGTACCTTTATCAAAACTTGCTTTATTTGCTGGACCATTTGGACGTCAAAAAAATATCATATCAACTATACCATAATAATTTCTTCTTTAAAAAACTTTTGTTTTGTTTTGTATCTTGGTCTTATTTGTGTTTGTTTTTTGCTTTTTTTTACATTTAAACATTGAATCATTCAAATATAAACATAGTTAATGGTGGTTAAGGAGTGAGAAGGAGTATATGGTTAGCTCGTTTTATTTATAAACAACAATAGTTTATCTTCAATTTACTCGTTTTTCTAACCTAATTATAACCTAATTTTTTTCTTTTTGTTTGTTTGTTTGTGGTACCTACTACTATATCCAGTGAAATGTTGTTTTATCAATGGATTGTATATAATCCGTATAACTTACCTACCTACCTATATACTACACTCACAATAAAAGCCTATGAATGATTATATCATAGACTATAATCATTTTGCATACTTTTTATGGAATAGGCTATTTTCAAAGTTTATTATTCTTGTATTTATGTGTCTTTCTTCTTCTTTTTTTAAAGAAAAATTGTTTGATTTGTTTTATCCGCATAACAACTGGCCTTGAATAAAGTGGTAAATGTCAAATGTTTCTTTTTCCTATTGAACACAACAGGTTCAAATTAGAAATAAGGTTCAGATTTTTAAAAAAAAAACGAAGGATGCACGGTAATTAAGATGAATATTATTAAAACTGATCAGTGAAATATGGTTCGTTTTACTGTCTATTCGTTTGCTTAATGACCAATCGAAAACGTATGACTATAAGTGTACTTTTAACAAATAGTATAACGTCTCGAAGTTGGTAACAAATTGTTATTATCCTAGTCATGTTATCTTGTATGTCTATTTCGAACACCTAGAGTATAATCTATCAAAAATGATGTTTGTTTGTGGTGAATTTCATATACAATCGTTTCATTTAAAAAAAACAACAATATTTAATATATCATTACATGTTCACTGTAAATATTTAATGGCCTTGACATGTTTGATCACTTGGAATTGTCTAGCATATTCTTGATCTGGGGATCTAACAATTATTTTTTGTCACCATAGTCAAAATGATAGTATTAAACGCATGGAATACCCAGTCTTTTCTATGTAGATTATACACAACAGGCGAATCGAATCCGTTGAAACTAATAGACGAACTAATCAGACTTAAGGTAGTGCCTCTTCGACTTTTGTGCGAAATTCATTGAGTCATATAGCACAATGCATTTCTACTCTAGCTATTGTCAGCTCGTGATAAAAATCCTGAGAACAATGAGGGAACTGTTTGTATGAGAATTCATAAAGGCGAATGACCTTTCGCTTTTCCGATTGGCATTAACCCGTAGAAAACCCTAAGATTTATTACGTAGACTGTTGACAACAGTAATACCATCTTGATTCAATTTGAATTGTCCCATTGTTGATGCTTTTGACTGAAATGTACAGATTGTGTTTATACAGCCATTACAACAAAATAGTACTGTAGAATAGGTGGGACGTAGGCAGCAATGGAATCCTAGACGCACGTTCCGTCCAACTTATAGCTCATCAGTTAGATGTACCTGCATCCCGATGATGTTCACTGCTAGAGACATCCAACCACTCCTATAGTAATACCATTTCTTTACCATAGACTATTTAATTAAGCTGCTTCCTAATTGGCTAGAAAGTATTCGCGATTATTTCAGACTCATATATTGCAGCTAGAATGAGTCTAAACCACTATTAACAACAGCGCCTATTTGATAGTCCCCTTTATCAGTTTAAACTTGACTTATTACTCCATTTTTATTTTGATCCAAACCTATGGCCTTGAAATAGACTTCATTCATGTATTCTTATACCTAGAACAGATGATGTTTAAGTGATACACCTTGATTTCATTTGAACACAACATATTTTTTCTTGTGAGTTATCGTGAATAAGCAGTCTTACATGGGACAAAGGATAACAAATAAACATGAAACATTCTCACCATATATGTGATGTATGAGTTGAAACAATACCTTTTGGTTTGAATAACATGAAATGCATTTGTGTACAAACATGAACATGCTGATATTAGTTATCTCATGACGTTTCTTGGCTTATTAATCTGCCAATTATGGGGACATTAACAGTAGTTTTCATGGAAATTCCGGCACACAGTGATGAGTTAATTGGATTTGTTTAACGGGCTATAAATTTTTGCAAAGATAAAGTATTGATTATTATTAAACTACATACCTAAATCTGATAGTCTAAAACACTCAGTTGTCATGTACTGTATTTATATAGTGTAAATATGTTTGACTGTGTAACTGAAACACCTGGTATGGTTGATTTAGTAATTAGACGGTAAACTTGAATATTTCCCATCTGAGACCTTTTACGTAACTCCACCGACAGTGCCAACATTGACACTGATGTTTAGAAATGAGGATAACTTCTACGATGTCGCATTAATATCTTGATAATTAGAAGTTTGTATGCTGGAACGTTCGATAGTTCCATCAAAAGTGATAAGAAACCACGGTGATAAATGATATATCTTCATAATCTTCAAGTACACATTGATAGGTTATTTTAATAACAATAAATTTATTAATTCCTAGCACCTTACCTATAGTTTCATTTCTATCATTTACTTTCGTTCCTATATAGAAATTTTTATCAATAACACGTTGTACTTCATAGAGGTTGATTATGAATACAGTGGTCTTGAGTGCTGTTAGAGGTATGAGGGCGGTTACCACTTCCTGGTCGCCCACACCGTGGAAGGGTTCTTCTGGAGGTGCCTGAAAAGGAAATTAGATTAGAGGTGGTCTTAGTGACCTGAGAGCGTGACCGCAGTGCCCAAGGAACAACTGCTTGAGGTCGGTCACACACGACCCTTTTATGAGTAATTTTTGTGTTAGTTCCGTACTTGTTGAGGTCTTACCACCGGGAACGGATATCCGTGGGATAAGGCGAGGTGTGTATTTTTAGGGTCCACCTTTTCTGACCACACCCCTCCTTGTAGGAAGGCAGCATCGCTGTCATGCTGGTTGTCTGAAGGAAACACCTTACTGTTGTCACACCTCTGTACAATCAGCAGTACGACTTCGCCTTCGGTTTGTTGCTTTTAGTCTTACCGCTGTTTAACCGACCTGTCTGATATGGTAGGACCTTGAGGAACGGTTGTTCCAGCCAACACAGCTTGGTTGCTTCGTCACGACAGGCAAGCCCGACCACCACGTCAAAGTAGCAACAACGGTCTTCCCTTAAACTAAAAGATTAAAATTGCTTCATATCTTCCTTTCTACTAACTAACTCTTTCTTCCTGTACTATATCCTTATTGCAATCTTTCTTTTATATATTAACATCTCTGAATTAACTACTTTTATGTATCGTGTGTTCATCTTGTTGTGTTAATGTGATATGGCAACTTGGACTGATGCATATATGTGCCTGGTCCTACGTTGTAGCTGACTGACTGTACTTCATAGAAATCATGTAGAATTCTCAACTAAATACTCACACATTACAAGTGTTTTACTTTTGATTAATATTCCGTATCAATCATAGTTTATTAATGTCAAACTCTACAGAATAGTTCATGATGAGAAACGTATTGAAAATAGTGATTTAAGAATTATAAACAAACAATTTGCTTTATCAAGTGTATATATGGGTATTTAGTAATATAGTAATTGAAGAGAACACGATATATAATAGAGATTAACTTAGCTCTATTTATATTGATTGAAATTTGTTCATTTCATAAAATCATTAGAGATGAACAAACAATGAACATGATAAATTTTTTTATCCACAGAACTTCTCAAATAAACAGCTTAAAATTCAGAATGGAATAATAGATGCAAAAAAAATACAGTGATTCATGAAAAATTCTACACATGTTCAAAAACACATTAAGCCGCGTTCTCAACAACATTATCTTCTCTCATAGAATCATCAAGTGGAGGTGGAGATTGTGCTTGAGGAGGTTCTGGAGAATCTTGTTGATGACGACTATAGTTGTAATCATTTTGTGTATCATCTTTATCTGAATAAAGGCATTCATTATTTGCAGGAGCACCATCACCTTTAGATGGACTATTTTGTCCAGATTCTAATTCCATTTGCTGATAATCTTGCTGAGTTTGAGAAACAACCGCAGTGTTGACTATCGGACCTTGCATCTCTTGGAACTGAGCCATGTACTGTTGCTGTTGATATTGCTGTTGTAATTGTCTTTTAGCCTTCAACTGTGCAACAAATTGGTCTAATTCAGCTAGGTTTTCATCTGATTCACTACGCCTGAAACTTGTAACTAGTGGGGCAAGAGGGGGAGTTTTTATGCGAGCACGAGATATTACTCTAAAAGGGAGAAAAGGAAAATATCAACGCAACTCCATTAATTTTGGAAATCGAACAAAGTTTAAATTTGATACAGACTTAATGAAAATAATTGTTGAAAAAGATTGGTTAAAAATGAAAAATTGAATTTACCTTCCACGAGCACCAGGTCGAATTGGTGAATGTGATGGCGATCGAGGTGATGATCGAGGGCTCCGAGAATATGAACGTGATCGACTTTTAGAAACGTGTGATCGTGACCTCGAACGTGAACGAGAAGACCGAGGTGAGCGCTCAGCAGATCCAGATGTTCCATAACGTTTTCTGCGACGTTCAAAGTTACTGGCACTGCCCGATCTAGCCGACGGACCATCACGTCTACGGTCATCATAACTGTATGCAGTAAATTATACAAAATTAACTTAAAAATGTTACCAAAGTAAAAGCAAAACAGTAGTAGTTCACAAGATAAGCACAAAGTAAACAACTAATTATTCGGTGATGATTTTTATAAACTTGGAGATAAAACTCACTTGAAAAATGGGTGTGATATCGATATAAACAGAATCAAACACTATGCTAACTTGGTATGGGAAAACCAAATGAATTGGATGAACGCAGAGTTGGAACCAGCAGCTGCATTTGGTTACTGCCGAAAACTCTTTCAACTCATCTGAGTCATAGACGATAAAAATTCTGGTGTGAGCGAAACAATCTGTGATGACCGGATGACAATCACTAGCAGGTTAGTTTTCGTTCTAGCCGATGATCTAATGATCACATCTTCACCCTCTGGCAAATGTTACAACACCGCAATACTTATTACAATCCAACAATCGTAGTGTGTCTTGACATCAGAGCTGCCTTCGATTCATTGAACAGGATTGTTCTGTAAGATTGCCTATTGACGAAGGGTGTGCCTGAGAAGTTCATTAACATCTGAAGGGCCCTACATACAAGCACCTCATGCAGAGTGAAGACATACAACCACCTCTTCCTATTGTTCGATTCAAGCAGTGAGGTTAGACACCATCCCTTTTCAACTTTGCTACCGATGACATTCTGGGAACAGCTCTGACGGATGTAAGTAATGGTGTGAATCTGCTGCCGGGAGAAAGACCTCTCGACCGTCAGTATGCGGTTAATATTGTCTTACTGTGCGATAATAACTAAGCCATGTAATCCACATTTAATCAGTTGGTAATCAATGTCCGTAGGTATGATGTGCTTTGCACATTCGAAGTGCAAAGTACTTTTACAACAAGGCTGGCAGGACCCTGATCCTGCACTCACCTTAAGTGGTGGCTTGGACATGTTTCGAGAATGTCGTCCTAGAGAATTCCATGTTGTGCATTATCTGCCGACGCTGAACCAAGTTGGGAAAAGTGGGGAGGTGGTCAACGTATGACATGGTGTCGTAATATGAAAGAAAGTGGTACAAGACTAGCTTCTGTTGGTTCTTCACAACTCCCTAGTCGGGGTTCTAGAGATGGCGCAACATAGTGAATAGAGACATTATCACACATGGCTTATAATGGAAGCCAGGGCGACCCTGTTGTGCATTGCTTTTACTTTATAAGAATGAACGTAATATCTTTAGTTGAAAAGATTCTTCTGGGTGTACTTTTGTTGACTGAACTGTTTCTCCCATTATTATTACTATTTCACTCTCATACACTAATTTCTTTTCGTTGTTCTTATACTATACGCACTTTACATTCTCTATTTCTTCATAACCTTATTGCTATTGTGTGGCGTATATGTAGTTGGTACCCCCATTGTACCAATGTCTATGTGTTCAAATAAAATAATAGGATAAAATAAAAGTATATTCCGATGGTAAGAAAAATTATCTGAACCATAATTTTACGTAGGCAAAAAATACTGTAATATGGGGATCCCAAACATTTGATTGACTAAGTATAGTCGTTTGTATATGCACATGCAAAAAAACAACAAAACCTACAAATATGGATGAAGCAAAATGACAAAATATTTAATTTTACCGATGATTATGCCAGTTATTTCGGCGCAAACGATAATCATCCCATTGATTACGCCATCGGGGACCTCCACGAGGACGATTTCTTCCATAGTATCCACTGCCGCGGCTACCATGATATTCAGGACGCTGAAATGAGCCACCTGATCGACGATCAGCACTTGATGGACCATTCCCACGAAAGTGTCCTCGATCACCTTTAGGAGATTCAGATGGTGGTGCATCATCTCCGACTGCAAGAGAACCTTCGCGATTTTTATCCTGACCAGTAGGTGCGCCGTTAGTAACTTCAGTAGTTCCAGGATTATTTCCTTCTTCCAGTTGATGGCGTCGTTCTATAGCACGTAAACGAGCTTGAACACGCTCTTGAAGACTTTTAGAAGTCATAGGAAGATCATTTTCATTCTCATATACAGTAAGAGAACCATGTTCTCCTTCACGTGCATTTCGTGGAGGTGTAAATACCTGACAAATACAATTAAGAGTACAACACGTGTGCATATGACGTACAGTTTATTTGGTAAGTAATTACTTATGGTTATGAGTAATAATGTTCAACATGTGAGGAATGGATTATTAAATCAGCTAAGATTGAAAAAGTAAATAGTTATTAACAAATATCATAGATCAGTATTTGTGAAGTGCATCATCAAATACCGAACCACTACACATTATTCGAACAAATATACGTTATTAAGTTTTAACAGTGGAGTATATGCAAAAAGAAACAACAACACGTTTACACGACCCTGTGATCACAAAGTCTAGACAATGGCAGGGAAAATTGAGGATCAAGACATTTTGGAAGCATAATATTTGACTCAGAGAGAGTCGGTTACTATCAACTGACGTTCTTACGATATTGGAGAAGTGAGACAAGCACATCGACTACTATTACACTGAATTCTTATAAATTCATAACCATACTTCCATTAGATTTAGACGAAAATAAGAAAGAGTGCAAAACGTTTTTAGAGAATAACAATCAATACAGCCAAATCAATCAATAGCTATTGAATGATCCAGTAAGATGAACGTTTTACTAATTCTATATTAATTAAAATAAATAGCCACATCAACAACGCAGAAATATTAGAGATCGCGTACAGAATAAGTGTGAAAATGTCGTCCAATGCTTATACCATTTATAAAGGTATTTGCACTTTTTACAGTATCAAATCTAGGCAAATCAAAACATTGTAGAGTGTCAGGCTAGATGCTGTAACTCTAGTACTAAGGAACACAGACACTACTAACTTACTCGTCTTGTGCTTCGATATTCTGATTCCCCATCTGCTCGACTTCTTTTCGAATTATCCGGACCTATAATGAGTTAAAAATGAATCATGAAATACTCGGTAAATATTTGAAAAGAAACTAGTATAGATCAAATACACATCATAACTTGGCTATTTTATATTTACACCTGGATATTAGATAACAAGGCATAACAATTATGGAAAGCTTATGTTTTTTTGGAATGTGTTGTAATTGTACAAACCAGATGAACTATAAAATCCAATTCTAGTGATTACTATTAGTACCAAAAAAAAGTAACACAGTAACATTTCACAGCGCAAATTTGAAGCGACTTATGATGTAACAGCGGTATAATTTTTTAAAGATATGCTAATCGGACTATTAAAATATTTCATCTTCAATACTGACAAAATTATAGGGAATGGGAATAAAAATACAACAATACTCCACTACAAATGACTAAAGGTAACCAGAGAAACAATCTAGCTTATAATTTTCTATAAGTGTAAATATCTAAAGAATTACTGGGATATAACTCCATCAACAGACTATTCTGTAGTGCTAATGAAGTTATGATTAAATCACTAAGTTGATATAACAATAAAAAGTTCACTTTGTATATGTATAAAAAAAACAATGAACAATTCAAAAAATAACTAATAGTTTATTATAGATAGATTTGTAGTGTTTAAAGTTATTTTAACTTGAGGTAAATACTAAGAAACTTATATTGAATAATAAGGCGATACATTTTACTCAGCTTAGAGAATTCCACGTCGTGCATTATTTGCCGACTCTGGGACTGATTGGAAAAAAGCGGAGAGGTGGTCAGTGCATGACATGGTGTCGTGGGATGAAAAAAAGCTGCAAAGGGCTGCCTCGTGTTGGTCCTTCACGACTCCCTGGTTGGGGTCCGAGAGATGGTGCAACACAGTGCCCAGAGACGTTATCAGATATGGCTCAGAATAGAAGCCAGTGGCGATCCTGCTGTAACCTTCTTTTACTTTTTTCATAAAAAAATGGTTTTATCTTCCTTAACTGAAAGATTTCTTCTGATTTTACCTTTCCGCTTCCCCCATTATTACTATTATTATTATCACACTACCTTACACCAACCTCTTCGTTATTGTTTCTCTTTTCTTTTTTTCTTTTACGCTCCTTACCTTTTTTTCCTACTTATTCTCATTGTTTTATGTGGCGCCCCCAAATGCCCTGGTACGGCTGAGAGTGGGGAGAGTCCGCTCTCCTTCTCGAAGTGCTCTCACACGGCCACGCGTATACAGCCTCTGCCAGGGAAGTCCTACCCACTGCCTTCTCGTGGCGGGGGTGTTGTTTACGAAAATGAGAGGACGAAAAGCGAATGTCCGGCACTTTAACCGGATCCCAAACCAATGGTGCACATGGGCTCCAGTATCCTGCGGGAACAAATGGCGTATGAACCAATCGTTGGTCACCGGCTACTATGGGACTGCATCTCCTTACGATGCTCCACTGCCTTGTGGATCAGACCTTCAGGTCGAAGGCTCGGGGTGTGGCCCACTAAGAGAACCACCTGCTTCGATTTGGGCACCCGGGCAGTATCACAGCCCTCACACATATCGAATGAGATTTGTGTGGCGCATATATATTTGGTGCCTTCTTGTACCATTATGTATGTGTTGAAATAAAATAAAATAAATAAATGTGGTGCATATATATTTGGTGCCCCTCTTGTATCAATATTTATATGTTCAAATAAATAATTTTACTCAGTTTCAGATCACATTATTCATCATAAGAGCTAATGATAATAACCAATTGATAGAACTGAATAGTATAGAAGAATAAGGTTGAAAAAAGTAAACTAATTCATTGAAAGGTAAATATAGTTTTGAATCAATAAAAAAATGGATTGGAAATTAATATCAGATGAAGAAATACTGAAATTAAGGACTATGAAAATAATGATATACCAGTACATGAATTTTGATATGATCTGAATATTTTATATATCATCAAGTGATTGTTACTATACTTCAAGGTTATTATTATTATTTTCTTCATATAGTAGTGATTAGATTAACAACAGGTTTTCTATAGTAACATATCTCAATTCTACTTTAATAATGAATAAATTATAAACAATTATGATTAGGATAAAAAAAAGTTATATTTCTTTTTCTTTGAAACAATTTACCAGTAGTATTAAAGGATTAATTTAATAAATTATCCAAGAACATTCAGTCAGTCAGTCAGCTACAACGTAGGACCAGGCACATATATGCATCGGTCCAAATTGCCATTATTTCATTAACACAACAAGATGAACACAGGATTCATAAAAGTAGTTAATTCAGTGGACCGTTGTTGCTACTTTGACGTGGTGGTCGGGCTTGCCTGTCGTGACGAAGCAACCAAGCTGTGTTGGCTGGAACAACCGTTCCTCAAGGTCCTACCATATCAGACAGGTCGGTTGAACAGCGGTAAAACTAAAAGCAACAAACCGAAGGTCCAAAAGCGAAGTCGTACTGCTGACTGTACAGAGGTGTGACAACAGTAAGGTGTTTCCTTCAGACAACCAGCATGACAGCGATGCTGCCTTCCTACAAGGAGGGGTGGGGTCAGAAAAGGTGGACCCTAAAAATACACACCTCGCCTTATCCCACGGATATCCGTTCCCGGCGGTAAGATCTCAACAAGTACGGAACTAACACAAAAATTACTCATAAAAGGGTCGTGTGTGACCGACCTCAAGCAGTTGTTCCTTGGGCACTGCGGTCACGCTCTCAGGTCACTAAGACCACCTCTAATCTAATTTCCTTTTCAGGCACCTCCAGAAGAACCCTTCCACGGTGTGGGCGACCAGGAAGTGGTAACCGCCCTCATACCTCTAACAGCACTCAAGACCACTGTATTCCTAGAACATTACATCACATTGCATCTTTAATCATGAAAAGTAAACTCAAATACTATCATGGTGATTTAAAAATCCACTAGCATAAAGAAATCTTTGGAAAAAAGGTAGTCTCTTACCATTTCGATTATCATCATAGGAACGTTTCCATAAGCCTTCTGACCTACACAACAAAGAAAATAAGTATATAAACTGTTATAAGGAAAACAATTTATGAATAGAAACACATTGAACTTATTCATTGAAATCTGATTTTTGTTTCATTTATTCTCTATTGTAATTGGCTTTGAAAGGAAACTTCAATACATGTGTAATAAGTTGTCTATGACTGATATTTGGTTATATACTTGCTACTAGATTATTGGATAGTTTATGAATATAATACTTTCTTATTCTATTGAAACTAAAATCATTAATTACAAACAGTGTAATTCTCAGTCGCATTAGTACGAGGATATTGGAAACCCTTAGAATAATTCAAACTGATTCAGACTTTTTTCCACTTACTTCTCTAGGGAAATCACCATCCTACTGTACTTTACACAATATTCTGACAAAAACCTACGTATACATTTGATTTCGATTTCAGATACGGTATTTACTGGCTAGTCCGTTTTAATCAACGTAAAATATGGTACAGACGTGTTTTATTCTAAACTGTCACATTTAGTAGAATACAGACCTACATCACCAACATAGATGTATGTTGACCCAAGGACGATGAGATAAAAATAACAAAACAGATAGAGATAATGTAATACCAACCATAAAAAATAGACTAAACTTAGGGAATAATGCTTGAAAAGACATTGTGGAAAGGCATACATGAATGGATACTGGAGTTCAAGATTGAAAATACGGTAAAGAGTGAATGCAACTACGATTCTGAGTTAAATCAACCGAGATCTGTAACCACTAATCGCAGTTATCATGTAGACCCCAACTACGCAGTCTGCATTAACCAAAATGGCGTCATATTTCGGTTTTGGCACCCCTAGTTTAATTTCTACCTAGTTCTGCACTAGCAAGCATCGTCCTGATTACCTTAGTCAACGAACATTCATCTTATTAACCGATTGACCACCTTTGTCAAATAATTTATGTTTAACGTCAGCATTGCTTATCTGATGAAAAATAACATCAGCCAGCAAAAAGGGTACATACAATTACAGAAACAAATATGCACCATATCAGAATACTTATCTACAAACAATGATCACATAGAAAAATAATTTTTAGAAAAATACATACACTGAATACTATCTGAACTCTTAAAATAACTATCCCTTTTCTTAATAGATGGACAAATAGCAAATAAATACAACTAAATGAAAACTCGAGAAAATTACCTGTTTGACTCATCACCCATCTCGTCATCATCTTTGCAGCGTATAATACGTCCGGACTAAAATACAAACAAAATTGTGCGCATTACAATTAATGTTCTGTAGAATGTTCCCAGTTTTAGATGCTATCTGATATAACAGGATATTATTAAAACGTGACTAGCTTATCACTAAGACCACTTAGTTTATAGCTAGGTTATGGGATAATAAAATCTTGGAGTTTTACAAATATAAAAATACTCGGAAGCACTGGACGGTCGTTTTGTCCTAAAGTATGGGAGTCCTCAGCAGTATGCATCCACGATCCCGCCTCGTGAGATTCAAATACAGGGACTATCAGTCTAGCTTCAATTGACTCATGAATTCAACTATAAAATTACTATAATTTCCACAAAACCCATCTCTGATCATAAAAATACTTCTTTGGAAAATACTAACGTCTATAACATATATAGCAATAAAATATGCGTAATTTTATCCGATTTCTGAAACACTACTTTTTAGATTTTGAGTACACTGAAGCGCGACAAATTTTTTAGATCAAAATCTAAATTGAGCCATATCAGTTTATGAAGTTACTGGCTATTTGAATTAAGATATGTCAGAAGATGAACATTTTTTGGTTGAATTTCACGTGATAATCGTAATCCATCGCAGAAAACATTAAGTGGTTTGTTCAACTTATCACTACACCTTAACATTACTATACTTACTAATTCAGATCTTAATTTGTTCTCTATTCTGTTACAATGATGTGAGATGTGGCAACGTAACCAAACTCATGTCCTTTCAAGTATACAAGAGGCTTTTGACTAACAACTGTCCTCAACTTCAGAAGTGATCAGTCATATATATCAAGATTTGTACTACCAGATAACACAAAGGAGAGGTAACGTTAGGTGGACTACATTGTTAGATCATTACTCTAAGTACGGAAATAACAACTGGCAAAGATACAGTTTATATTATATATATATATATATATATATATATATATATATATATATATATATATATATATATATATATATATATATATATATATATATATATATATATAGAATACTTACTCGGTTGCGAGTAATTACAATTTTAGACAGGTCACCACGATCCATATTCGTTTTGTCCATAGCAGCATTACCACCACCACCAGCAGATTTTATCTGGACAATAATACATAGAATATGATTCCCCATGTAGGATACAACAATAAATCCCGCTGTTTATTTGTTTTTAATAAAAATGAACGGATAAACTTGCATATCAGCATAGAGATTGCTGGAAAAGAACCATTCTTCTTGGGAATATGTATACATACTGATATTTATATAAATAATTAGTCCTAGAGGCTTCATTGAATTTCCAATTATCAGGCGATAGACAATAACACATGATAATATTTACGTTTTTCTATACATTTCTACTGACTCATTTTTAAAAACTTTTATTCATCTACAATGAAGCATCTATTAAATCTAAAAGAAGAATAAATCAGTACTACACACGAAACACTCAAAATGATAATTAGCAATAATAATGAGTGGATCTCCATGAGTACTCTTCATTTTTGATATTTCCTTCCTTTTATTCAAATGATAGATAATGACGATGATCATTATTTTCTTCAGAAAATAAATCTGGTGGCTAAAAAAGAAAGCTAATATGAAAAAGCACCTGTTTTTCCGGTAGAAAAACAACCAGCTGGCTTGAAATTCTTGATCCGAAAATAATAATAAGAATTTAGAGTAGTGATAGTAGTGATGGAGATTTTAAAACAAGACTGTTAATTCTTTGGTCCCCACCGATGGTGAAATATCGATACAGTCTTTCCTCTGAACTCATTTCTGTAATTTATTATGCACCAGCATTTACAGGCACACTCACAGATATATGGAGAATCAGCAGCATACTTTCACCATCCTCACACACTCTTTTTACCACTGGTTTTTTACACATAGTACTATCATTTCCACATAATCAGTATTTCTCAGAGCAACTTCGCTCTGTTTCGTTTTCTGCGCTTCATAGAACAATTCTAGACTCTACAAAAAACGAAAACTCGTTCTTGATTATTGTCAATAATATTCATATGTGGGATTATGTCACTGTATGGGGCTAGAATGCATATAAACATAGAAAATGAGAACATGTATATCAAACAGACCAGTGATTATAATAAAAAATATAGATATTTTGTACTTTTTTGTGTCAAAACACTTGACATTATTACAGTGAATTATGTAAATACACTTATTCCATAAACATACATAACTTAGGAAACATCATTCGTCTTTAATTGATATAGCTGATATCCTAAAACACATGAATAAGAGTAATTAGAACTGTAAAACTCTAGTATCCTAATGTTATAATCACTTTTTGTGATGTTAACAAATGCTGTTTAGCAAACAAAATATTGTCTTGCTGTGACCTATCTAAAAAATTTACATAGTGACAAGTTCCAATAACCGTTCAGTACCATCAAATTGGCCAATTTTTTATTATAGGACTAGTGCGTTGGCAACTTGTTTGTATCTATTAACTATGGTTAACGTGAAGTTAGGTTGAACTATATGCTTAGTAATTGTTGTTTAGCATAGCTACAATCGGTCTTAACAGCGCAGATGTATGCACTGTTTGTGGAACGAGAAAACCGACAGACAAGCAAAGAGTATTTAGTATTAGCAATGAAAACACTTATATTTTACGGGATTTGGCAGGCAGTAACCGTGCTATCAATAAGTAAGAAAGATGAGTTCACTTAATTAGTGTACATTGTGTGAATTTCCTGAAAACATCAAGATTACTAAGAATGACCTTAGCCATTGGTTAAAGATATGAGTTTTTCAACCGCATGTCAAGATTTAAAGATAAAGTCCGGATAAATAATGCTTACATCATCGCGATAGTAATCTCCCCTTCGTCGTTCGTGAGAGGGATCTAAAATTAAAAGTTAAAGACAATGAAATTTCGAGAACAATATGCAAATTTGTCACAGTAGACCGTGATATGGTTGGTACAGAAATAGTATAAGAATGCTTTACTTACTGGGAGACAAAAATCCTGGAGGGCTTTGGTCAGGCGCGTGGTTTTGACGATTAGCCTCTTTAGCAGCACGTCGACTACGATCTTCTTCAACAAGCTGTTCTAGAGCAGCTCTACTACGTTCCATATGAGTGGCGTAACCCGCACTTGGACGAACTGCAGTTGGAGAAAGAGGAGTGTGGTCACGTTTGTTAACCACATTTCGACTAGAACCGCGTGGAGAAGGCGTTCGTGACCAGGATCGCTGTAAACAAAAAGGAACCACGATTTATTGATAAAATAAAATATTCGATAAGAACACATGAAAGCCTGCTATTTATATTATTGTCAACATACCAAACCAGCATCCTTGTTAGTAGAGAAAGATCCGTTAGTTTGAAGTTCTTTCAGTGCATCTCGAGCTTCATTATTGTCAGGATCCAACTTAAGTGCCCGATTTATTAATTGTTCTGCCTTGCTTATTTCCTTACGCCCAATTCTGTAAAGAACAAAATATTTTACACACAAAGTAAAAGGTTTGACCAAATAATTATAAAATAAAAGCATATTTTATAAGATCTGGACCGAGGAAGTTTTCACATTACTCACTCAAATTATCTGTAGTCAACGCGTTTTCTTTTTGACATGCTTAATACACGAAAACAGTAAAATTCGGTGATTGACATTTGTTCAAAATATGTTTAGAGCCTGTGGTTTGCTTTTGGTCATTAAACCCAATGCCTTGAAGCATTGATAGAAGTGTAGGTCAAATCAGTGTGATGCACAGTAGTCAATTAAATTGGTTATTAAAAGTAAATAGCCAAAAAGACGGCTGGATCAAAAAACTTTAAAGGCCACTTACGATTTGCAGTTAACAGAGAAAATAGTTAACACACACGTAAGACAATATTTTTAACAATGGGATTGGTTAGATGCGACTGATGAAGGCTAGATCAACTCGAAATGTTTCGGGAGACGTTAATTTAACTGTTACTATCGACGTCAATATTACAATCATTCTTAATACAGATTGGTGCGATTTGGTATCTTCTTTCAAAGAGAATGTCATTCCCCGTTTATGAGTTATGAACTGATGATAAAAAATAGGAAACCACTATAAAGACACCGAATCAGACTCTTTGCGTTTTTACTGCCGTCCTACACTTTCTCAACCATACTCACTTGATCATAACCAACAGAGTCTAGCAAACGTAAACTAACCCAGGTTTTCACACCACATTAGCAAGAGATAAATTTTAAAAGATGAATAACAAAGGAGCCCAAACAATATGACAACAATAGTAATGAGAAAGAATAAATGTTGATGGTATAGTTCGAAAAGGCAAAATGAACGGGTATGTATGAAGGGATACTGAAACTCAAGACTTGCTTGTCATTAGTTTTCTCTCATGTACTAGACAGATAGCTGCTACATGAACGTGATGGTTAGGTTTGTTATGCTACATTGGGGTTGACCATGAAGAACTAATTCTAAAATAGGCCACAATGATATTGTAAATAATTTGAACTATGTTTTGAGGCGAAATCGAACTGCATCTTAGAAAGATGAGATAACCAGGAGCGATGTATATTTATATTAGATATCCTGATGCTTATATCTGTTATTATTAACAATATAAACTTACTCGCCAGCATACGCAACTAGCGTCTGAACCAGATAATTTTTAGCATTAACATGATTTGGTTGGATTTCAAGACTTTTCTCCAAATCCTCCACTGCCTTTGTGTACGTACCGATTGAGGCATAGCTTTATTAACGTATGATAAAATGTGACATTAAAAATAACAGATTATTAAGGTATAATTTTACCACGAATATGAAGTGAGTAAAAAATAAGAAAATGTAGTCCGGATATCAACAAGAGACACCGATGCTACTCATTCTAACAGTCTGAAGTTAACAGGGTAAATTCACTTATCTACTAACCCATTTACCAGGCACAAAATCGTATGCTTGGCTTCTAATCACATTCTATGAGGGTCAACAATACTATACAGATGCATAAACTGAAGTAGGGAAAGCAGAAATAGAACCAGTTGCCTTATTCAGTTCATAGGTGTTACATATTGGCTGAATTCCTTTATTTAAAATGTTGGATAAGTGCTCCAGAAACTAAACTGCTTTAAAGAGAATTGAATAAGACCAATATTGTGAAGATACATGGTTGAATAAAACTTTATCAAACAAAATTTTACGGTAAATTAGGATTGCACGTCAAAGTACTACAGCATTAACTTAAATGAGAGAGATTTAATATTTGCGAGCCTCAAATAAAATGGCACGGATAAATAACAATGAAGGGGATACCAAATCGGACAACGATCAACAAATACTAATATACGACTCTTTACCTCTTGTAATTATCACAAACAAAAAAAGCGATATGGGTCTCATTGAATCATACCACAGAGTATTAGATCAATCACAGTAGCACACAGAGACCTTCCTATATGTCACTTAATCAACGATCGAAGAAATCAGCATGCCCATGAGATAGATCAAGAATAGGAAAGCAAATGGACCTGACAATATACTAGATGACGCACTGAAGTCAAATATAGAAGTAACTGTAAAAATGATCCACGTTCCATTCTGGAAGATTTGGGAGGAAGAACAAGTCCAACAGACAAACTGGGGAGAAGGATATCTCATCAAGATACCAAAAAAAGATTTGAGAGACATAAAACTACTATAAGTACCAGGAAATGTTCTCAACACTGTTGCTGAACCAGATGAAAGATTCAGTAGACGCTGAACTTCGAGATCAACAGACTGGATTCCGTGAGGATCGGCCGTGCACAGATCAAATCACCACACTACAGATAATCGTTCAACAATGAATTGAATGTAACTTGTCACTATACATCAACTTCCTTGACTATGAGAAAGCGTTTGATAGTGTGGATAGGAGGACCTGGTACAACCCTCATCACTATGTAGTGAATAACTGAGAAGATCATCAACATCATACCAAATTCACACGACGGACTACACTGCGAATCGGTACATGGAGGACAGCTGACAGACATATTCAAGTGAGGACCGCAGACAAGACTGCTTACTCTCTTCCGTTCTCTTTCATCTGATGTGTGATTGGATTATGAAGACCTACACATCTGAGGCGAGGCACGGAATACAACAGACAGATTGCATGCAACTAGATGATTTCGACTTCTCAGATCACATAGTCTTTCTTTCCCATAGATACGAGCAAATGCAGGTTAACACAACCAGTGTGGCAAAAGCCTGTACAGCAGTAGGCCTAAACAAACACAAGGGACAAAGCAACATCCTCATATATAACACGGAGAACACTAACCAACCCAATCCCACTTGATGGAGAAACTCAAGAACAGGTGGAAACTATCACGTATCTCGTTAGTAGTGTCATCGATGAACAAGGAGGATCTAATGTAGACGTAAAAGCAAGGATTGGAAAAGGACAGCATCCCTACAGTTGAAGAACATATGGAACTCAAAACAACCGTCAACCAATATTAAAGTCACAATCTTCAATACAGTTGTAATGTACGGAGCTGAAACGTGGAGAACAACCACAACCATAATCAAACTGGTACAAGTATTTATGAATAGTTGTTTGCACAGAATCGCAATGCCCGTTGCTGACCGGATACGATCAGCAACAGTCTACAATCGGAGAAAACAAACCAGCTTCCGATTGAAGAAATTAGGAAAGGACACTGGGGGTGGATAGAACATACATTTCGAAAATCATCAAACTGCATCATGAGGCAAGCGCTAATTCGGAACCTTGAGGAGAAACGGAAAAGAGGAAGACCAAAGGACAAACTGCATCAGGAATGGGAAACAGACATAAAAAGAATGAATAGCAACTGGAAAGGATTGGCCAAGACAGAGTTGGATGTAGAATGCTGGTGGGAAGCCTATTCTTCTTTTCGAGGGGTAACAGGAGTAAGTAATATAAAATAGAACACAAATCTTTCAAAAGAAAGTCAAACTCTTTGGTAAAAATTCAGGTACATTTTTTACCAGACCAAAGTTAAAAATGTAAACTAGGTATGCAATTCAACAACGTGAAAGTTGTGACTTACAGAGCACCACGGGCAACATAGGCGTCAGGATTAGTTGGTTCAACTTCAATTGCAAAATTGTAACACTGTAAAGCTTCAGTATTTCGGCTTTCCTTGAAATATTTTACACCTTGGGCGACACTAATAATAAAGTGAAGATATTATTTATTTATTTATTTGAACAAATAAATATTGGTACAAGAGTGGGCCAAATATATAAATTAGAAAAGTTAATTGCATAGGGATGCTGAAACGGAGTTTTAGTTCTCTGCTATACTACTAAGTCTAATATAAAAGTTTTCTGAACTGTCAAGACAGTTATTTGTTTTAACTATAGATTATTAAATTACAACCACACTTAACATATAAACGCTTACTGTTTCATTGAAAAATTCAGCAACTGGGTACGTCTAAGCTCACAAGCCATCTCTGATTTTGGTAATCGGATTCTACAAACGGGGAAAAAGTATAGTTATAAATGGCAAGTATAAACACAAGATTTGAGACTTTTCTGAATCTCTTAATAAGTAATCAATGCATAAAACAGATGTAAACAAATGAGCAAAAATATTAATGATAAGCGTTTCATGTAGACTCTAGATTATTAGTACTAATTAATCTTACTTATTAATACAAAAGAGAAGACTACATGCTGATGAACGTGGTATCCCCATGCGTGCGCACAGAACTTGAAGGCCATCTGGGTTGCGAAATTGTGGTGTTGATTCAAGGTAGGCTTCATACGATTTGCCATCCAAATTCTGAAGTTTCCTAGTTCACAAAATCAATATAAGGGAAATGTTAGGGCAAATTCAGTAAAATTGATTACTGAAAGATTCTTAAAAATAAAAAAAAACAATGTAACTTAATACATTTGAACTGGAATGAGTCAAACTGTAATTAATTCAACATTAAAACATCGGATTGTAATGTACTCCATAAAATGTCACTAGCAATCAAAATGAACGTTTCCGATAATAATCTCATTTAATTACATATATCAACGTAAAAACCAAAAAACAATCGGTAAAAAAGCGACTAATATTAAACTTAATAGTAGATTATAAGTCTACTGTCAAAAAAATGTTAGTGTATTAGTTCTACTAAATTCGTACTAATTAACAACTTCCGGAAGCCAGATCCATTCGTTCATACCGTCTTTTCAGTTTCCCACATTGTAGTTGAATTTTTTTAACTTTTCTGACTTTTAATTTACTCTTGTTATGCTGTAAAGTGTGACAACTTAAACTGATATATCAGCACTACAGTATACGTTACGTTTGACATGCATAGTTTAGTAGCCTCAGACTAATTTGTGTACCAGACCATGAGAAACAATACTATCAACTCAATTAAAAATCGACTACTTGTATCAAAGAATCACAATTGCATCACAATAGTGCCTTTAAAACATACGTGATAAATTTGTGATTAAATTTTGACTACGTGTACTTACTTGTAATATAGAGGCATATCATCATCAGTTATGATACCCTAGAAAAATAAGAAAGAATTCATGTAGAGATAGTGGAGAATGAAAGAGTTGAATATTGATGTGTATTTCAACTTTAACCTACAAGTTTCAGATCCCCATAAGTATCACGATTAAGCATCTTCGCATTCATGCTTAATATTAGACGTCCACCTCCATGAATGTCAAGAATAAATGCTATAATGGAAATGTAAAATAATAAATTTGGTTTATCAGTAATGTATGAATCGAAGTTGAACATTATTTCTTACTCAACGTGGTTTGTGGGGAAATGATCAATCTGCTAGTTTGTCATTTACTAAGTAAATAGTGAGTGGAAACGAGAGTGAAAAGCCATGAAATATTCGGGCTTTAGTACTCACTCAACTAGATTTTAAGTTGACATCAGATCGACAGTATAGAGCTGCATTTTTGGCTAATTAGTGAATGGTTAGGTATTGTGAGATGGTGAAGATTTGTAGCTCAGGTGGATGATTTTGGCATAGAACTGTGTATTATGAATTTCAATAAAAACAACTAGTACGAACTATAGGGATTTCACTTAACCGACGATATCCACTTTAAAGCTCCAACGGTTTGCAAAGTAAACTTTCAATTGCCAGGTAATGGTTTTATGCCCTAATTATTCCTAAGCAGCTGGAAACTGTCAATAGCTCTTAGAACACACACACACACACCATGTTTAGTACACAAAACTATGCACATAACGTAGTGAGGAAGCGCACGTAACCTAAGAAATAATCAGTAACACAAGAACAAGTAGGCAACTCACCACGAACTTTGTCACCTATTTGAAAAGCATCCAAAGCGTTTCCGTGAGCATTATATCGCGGAAGTTGTCTCAACGGACAAAAGCCCTGATAAAGAACATATAAAGACTAGTAAAAACAATTACCGTGATCTTCAGACCTTCAAAATCCCGCCGAGGTCCTTGATCATATGCCAGGACAGAGACTACAAGACCGGAATCCTGTATAACACTGATAACACCCACTAATACATCATCACGTCGACACGTCTAGTGTAAGAAAAAACATTTAAATGGAAGTCAAAACAAAAACGAAAAATACATATAATGTTTATGAAGTATACATTGTTTTTACTCATTGAATTTCTGTTTAAGTGCTCGATTTAGAGCAACGCTATTTATGCGAGGGTTAATAACGATACCTGACTGCCTAAACCAACGTAGTTGAAGCGGCGTTCAAACTTGAGTCACTAGTTAGAGTTCGGTTGTTTTAGTCACTAATCCATCACTTACGAATAGTATAAAACTATTTGGTACGCCATAGGACAGTACATCTGTCGAATCAGACATCAACAACGCGAGAAACTGGCACAAAAGTATATTGACCCGAATCGCAGCACGTCAGAACAGCGAGGTTAAATTATCAAAAAGAATGCCGAAGTATTCTTGACCCTATACGTATACTGTAAGAGAATAATCTTACAATTATACTGATTTGTAGCATTCAGAGACATGAATAGGAGCTTTATTCTGTAGTGGAAGCACAAATAACTCAAACCATTATGTCAAACACTTAAGACAGAGTTCACAGCGTATTGTTGAGATGGCTAATTGGGAGTTAGTATACAAATCAAGAACGGGCTCTAGTGATTACTGTACTTGAATCCCAACTAATACTTATTTTAAGCAGGTGAACAGGTGAACAGGAGGAGTAGTTCAATTCATCAGAAATACTATCCCCTTTACAGAAACCGGTAACATCCCATGAAAGTGGAACATGCTAATAAGTTAGTTGCCGCTCGAAATACAAAGGACAGGAGCTGTTGATTGGTTTGGTTTATGATAGTTCAAATTGTGAGATGAGTTTTTGTTAAACGGATTTAACACTTGGTCATTAAGTGATCGGTTTTAATGCACTTATGGTGCAAATAGACTGAATTGGGTTGTCAGAAAATCCTTTCGAACAGAAACTAGTTGATGTGGTTATCGCATGTTCCCTGGTGCAACATGTGAGAGAAGCAACTAGGTACAACACAGACCCCAAATTATCCTTACTAGATGGCATATTGACCCGTTAGGGGATGACATAATAAGCCTTTATTATATACCACTCTTAGGTAAGAGTGATCATGCAGCTCTAGTTCTTGATTTGCATATCGTTGTCAATAACGATGTGTCAGCCCAAATATCTGGAAAGCAAATATACAAGATATTATACACTTAGCATCCTCTGTGGATTGGACAATAGAATCGGGACACCCCATTGAAATGTCTTGAGATGTATCCAGAAATTTGTATATCAAAATTACTGCACTGGGCATCTCTTGAACTACACCGAGGAGTCCAAGGAACTCCCCCACCGTGGTTTAATAAAGAGGTTCGCACCCTTTTTCGTAAAAAGAAAAGAATATGGGAGAGATTTTGGTTACCGGATGCTGACGAGACAAAATGTCAATATCAGGAAGCTAAAAATATTTGTGCCTCGACTGTCAGCAAGTCGGCCCCCAAATGCCCTGGTACGGCCGAAAGTAGGGAGAGTCCGCTCTCCCTCTCGAAATGCTCTCACATGGCCACGAGTATATAGCCTCTGCCAGGGAAGTCCTGCTCATTGCCTTCTCGTGACATTACTGTTGTTTACAAAATTCAGAGGACGAAAAGCGAATGTCCGGTGCTTTAACCGGGTTGGTGGACATGAAGAGTCCACCTAGGGGGGTTGGAAAACCACAATTCCAAACTAATGGTGCACATGGACACCAGTATCCTGAGGGAAAAAATGACATATGAAACAATTATTGGCCACTGGCTACTATGGGACTGCATCTCACGATGTTCCACTGCCTTGTGGATCAGACCTTTAGGCCGAAGGCTCCGGGTGTGCCCCCCCCCCAAGAAAACCACATGCTCCGGTTTCGGCACCCGATCAGTATCACAGACCTCACACATCAAATGAGATTTGTGTGGCGCATGTGTATTTGGTGCCTCCTTGTACCAATATCTATGTGTTCAAATAACAGTAATAATACATCAAGTCTAGAAGATTGTATGGAGAAAAGCTTTTTAAGGAATCTATAGAATACCATAAACGCTTGTACTTGTACATAAACCAAAAACTAGAAGACGGAATATTACAGCATTATGGGCAGACAGTAGTACCGCATCATAAGTGGAGGACGATTATGGTAAAGGTCAGTTAACCTTAGATTACTTTAGCAATATGCATAACGTATAGATGCTTTTCCCTTCAGTTTATGCAAACACTACACACACTGGACAATGTAACCATTAAAGAACCTGATGTATTCAGTCTGCTGAAGCATGATATAAACAAATTTATGGGACCTTACGAAACGCATCCTAAATTACTAAAGAATTACTAAATTTTCTTGCGAATGCTCTAAGCGTGTGTTCTAAGCCATTTCCAGTCCAGGGTCGACTACCAAAGAACTGGAAGAATGTTATAATATGCCCTAGATTCAGAACGCGTATGAGAGATAAACCTGAGAACCATCGACTAGTAAGCCTAACTAGTATGGTTTTCAAAATCTTAGAAAACTTTATACGGAAGTTAAATACGTAGACGAATATCGGGTTTTTTCTAAAAAGTACCATGGTTCTAGAGGTTATTCATGTCTCATAAACATAATAGTAGCCCGTGAAAGTTGGTGTGCTCTTAAAGATAAGTTACCTATAGATGTAGCCGACATTGACTTCAGCAAGGCTTTTAACAGTTCCTCATAACCGGCTTTTACATAAGTAATATCGAGATTGGAGGCAATTTATTAGTGTGGATTAAGGGCTTCCTAGTTGAGAGTCAACAAAAAGTACGGGTTGATTCAAAGTTGTATAGCTTGGAAATTGCGCTTAGTGGGGTGTTTCAGGGCACGGGTTTGGGGCCAGTGTTATTCCTCTTGCATGTAAATGACCCTCCTCGTCTCCAATCATCATCGGTTTTGATATATGCTCACGATATCAAGATTTAGAGAGCGATAAAAAGATGATAGTTTAGAGCTCCAAAATGACCTAAAGAAATCATTTGAATGGTCTAAAATTTGGCAGCTGCTGATAAATGCTTTCAAGTTCATGATGATACATACTGGTCATCAAGGTACAGATACATACAGGGTGAGTAACACCGGGCTACTTGTTGGTCAAGCACAATGACCTAGGATCCATCGATAGCCAAGACTTAAAAACTACTGCACAATGCCGTGAGATAACCCCCAAAGGTTTTAGAACACTATGGTCAATACGTAGTGCCTTCAGCCATGTCGATGCTTTGATTTCGTATACCGTATACGTTCATCCTAAACTCCAGTATTCCAAACTAACTGCCAGCCCCTGCCTAAAAGCTTCAGTATGATGATAGACAGGATAAGCCAAATTAATTTCCGTTACCACATAAAAGAACCAGAGGCGACCTTATAACAGTTCTTTAATTAAATAATGATGGATTTTGCATGGCATTCATTTTCGGTCTTTCAAAATAGGATTTACGAGAACAATTAAAAAGTCTACAAGCCCATAACTACTTTTTGGCTGATTATCGACTTTTACACCGAATCGTCAACGAATGAGAATCATTACTTTAACATGTGATTGTAACTCAGTCCATCGACGCTTTCAAAAGAAATTTCAATCAACTGAGACCACCATTGCCAAGACTTACACAGGCCATCCAGACTACTACCCACCCCAAACAGAAAATGCTATTAAACTGTGAAAAAGGATGGACTTTGTGCTGAAGTATAAGATTTAATGCTTATATTTTGCCCGTAAATTACAGTCCCGCAGAAAAAGGTCCCCGAAACCACTTATTTTATAACCATTACTGACTCAACCTAATAGCACACTTGCATTAGCGGTCCTAGTTAAAGTGAATTAATAAGTAGTCAGGCGATTCAAATGCCTCTGGACCATAAATGTATAACTAAGGTCATCTCAGTATTATTTTAGAACATCGCTGTATAGCAATGGTCTATGGGGAGAATTATGCGTATACTCAAGGGTAGAGAATAACATCACCTACATGCTACCACCCGATAAAAAACGCATAATTTTGTCTGTACTGATAGGTGAGGGACTTCAAGTACCACCTAACAAGATCGCTAAACATGACGAAATCACTAATCACACACGGCACAGGTAAGATAATAGGAACCACTGAGCCAAGGTTGAATCGGAACTAAGACTGAGCTTACAGCATAAAATTGGTCCCGGCGAATTTCATCAGGAACATCCATGAATGTCTCAATAGGAGGAGCAACTGCACAAAATGCTGCTGCCTGTTCATCCGGCCAAACTGGTACATTGGGTGGTGGCGCTTGTACTGATGGGTTTGTGTTCGGAGGTAAGTTCAGAAGGCGTTCCAAATCATTCCCTTCAGCTGGTGGGGGTCTGTGCATCCGGCTGATTATCTCAGCCCTGGAACATAAAAGATGTTCCAGTTTTGCACCAAACGTAGTCCTGAAAAAGAAAGCATTTTGTTCCCATTAAGACGTCGTCACACGTAAAGCCGTTTTGACAAATAAACGATTAAGTATTGTGAACTTGTACGAAAAAACCGATATAACACAACCAGAAATGTCAACATACATGATAAGTACACAAAGTCAAAACGTGCTGAACCGAAGGCCGCTATACATTCAAACAATACAATTCAAAGTAAAACTTCGTTGTAGCCGTGGTTTTGAATTTAAACGATACTGTATAAAAAAATCCGACCTCAGTCATTTTTGATACCTTTCAATGAAACGCTGATATCATTCAAACTATTTTAGGGATGATCACTCCTCTAGGACGTTTACTTTTCTGTTTATCACATCTAAAATTTTGATTTTCAATCCTTTCACTTCTATACTCCATTTTTGTCACATTTTGTCTGTTCACACTATTTTTTTCCAGCCCATATTTTGCTAAAACGTAGGTGTACTATATTATTTTTCATAGACATCTTCATTTCCCACTTAATCCAACAATTTCAGTCTGAACAGTCAATGTGCTGGCCAACTATGGGATTTAGAGAACGTATTTGCCACTTACTTAGTTGAGTGTGAAGTCAAGTGTAACAGAAGGTATCAAAAGTGTCCCGATTCCAAATAACAATGGCTTTGTTTAGTTTGCTGCTTCGATTGGGGCGGCCTGCTTGAGCATCTGGGCTACCTGTTTCTGTCATCTAAATATTTCAACAAGTTATCTATTTTTGTTTGTTTTAATATATCATTATGTATATTAATCGCATAACCCATCCTTGTGCATTTCTGAAAAGTTTACAACCTTTCGTTGTCAAAGTTACTAAAAGCTCAATAAGAGATAATGTGGCCGCTGGCAATAAGCAGAGAAAAGAATATACATTATTCAGATGTTTATTTACTGGACTGCTAACATCTAACTGTCTATCACTCAATATTTATCGTCAGGATCGACCCAGAAGGAAGAAACGGAAACTTGTTGAAATACTTTGTGCTGAGAATTCTATATTGTACCGAAAATATAATATTGAATAAAGCTTATAATAATAATAATAATAATGAAATGACCAGTTATAAAGGTTATAAAACAGATCTTGAGGTCATATGTCTTTCTACTTGCAACAAAGATTTGGTCAGTGCACTACCTCAGATACTCTTGTTCCATTTTCTTACCCTCTGTTCCCCTGCAACCTCCGAACCTCATAAAGAAGATACGTTGGATAAATCATGGGAGAATGCAAATACTACGAGATATGATATGACATCCATGGAGTATCTCCGAGTAATGACTGGGTGTTGGTCGTCATCAATCGAAATTCAAACATTGAATGAATTCTCCTTCGGGCTAAGCAAGCTGAAGTGGCATGTTCTGGTTTGGTAAGCCGATCGAACAGACATTCCTATGGAAGTTGATTCTAGAAGGAAACTGATGTAACAACTTAGGTTGATTGTTTAAGTGTTGTCCGCAAACATCTCAGTGGTGTCAGAACATCATAGCTCATACATTCATTCACTTCCTTATTTTGTACTGGCATTATAATTCATATTATTTCGTACTGGATGATGAAAAACTTTGAGTGTTTTGAAAAAGTAATCTTGCGCTCCAACTGTTCTGTTCCACGATCGAAATAAAGACCTATTCATCACTAGTCTGGTTTCTTTTAACAATAGAACACGAATTGCCCACCGGCACGAAAGGCTAAATGATAAATATGGCTAGAGCACTCTGTGTTAAGCTTTCCAGTACTGAGAAACTGTCATGTAATGGATTGTAAATGGCCTGATCTAGATCGTTTGATTAAGAACTTACTCAGTTCGTATGTAAAAACATACGATGGATTAGATAAGCAAACAGACATATATGGGACTACGTGAAGGATAAAAGACTGTGATAATCAGTATTTATACGGTAATCGGTAAAATATGGTTAACAGAATTAACAAGGACTTGGATATAAGTGTGCTTATGTAGAAGGTCACTATTGACCGAGAGATATTTCGGGTCATTTTAGGGACAATGATTCCCTAGTCACACAATGTCTAACGTTTAAGTGCCTGTCCAAAAGTAAATACAAATTCACGTAGGTGTATAATTGATGGAATTCATCATCCGAAAATCCATCTACAGTTTTATTTGACTGTGTTATTGTTTGGACGTTTCTCCCAGTTTTGTACCGTATAGCCAGTTAAGAGTCATCAAGCCAAAGCTAAATTTCCTATCAGGCTGAATTAGTTCTACTTGGAGCAACATGTGATTGACCGTTATACAGTCTATGGAGCATCCTCAAGGTCAAAGACGACCAACGCGAATCACCAACTGCATGCCATGGATTATTGAAAGCGTCATTGGCTGTACTATGCATTTGTCATGTCATACTAATACATTTCTTCATTAATGCCATAAATTAGTCAGAGTTGCCGCAATACAACGATATCACAAGATAAAAAGCTGCAACAGCATAAGCTAAGTGGTTGAGAATTAGCCGCACATATCTACTAAGATAAAAACATTATGGTTAAAGTATTTATTTACTTACTTATTTTGTGTAGGCACTATGTTTCCCACAATGAATGTTGAGGTGTTTTTGTGTTTATATGAAGATTTTGAAACTCACCTGTTCCGCACATCGCGTAATAAAAGTTTACTCAACCGCCTTGAATTCTTTTTTATCTCTATACAGCAATGAGTAGATATAATTTCAACAAGTGCACTAATATTGGTCTATACCTAAATTCCACAAACACACGTTTGGGACTGATCGTGACTTATGGCTTTGATGTAAGCTAGAAGGTCACAGTCTTCCCGTTTAACTCCGGTAAGCTCAAACCCTTCAAACAGGACACCAAATTTGTCTAAAGTGTGTTAGCTTATCTAGAACCTGTGTAGCTATATTTTCATGTTTTCCAGCCTTCTTTGACTAAATCATTAGGTGTTCCCATGTTGTGATTTAGGACCACATGTGTAAGGAAACATAATCGTTTTCCATCAGATTCTCACCAGATTTCCCTCTAATAAACATGAATGCTTAAGTGCGTTTGTGAGATTATAAAAACCATTCAAGATATTTTACGATTAAGTGATCTATTACATAGATAAACAGCAAGTATAAAGTACAAATCGATACCGTAATAACAGGTGTACTAGTTGTGATAGGAATAATGTAGACCTAAATCGCTGTCAAATAAAATGAAATAGGTCAAAGACATTCATTAAAGAAAAAAACCTACAGGATAGGAAGCATTCGGATACTTTTAAAAAGGTTGGAAAAAGATAAACGAGTGGGGAAAATGAAATATCATAAATAAATAAATGAAAATGAGCCGCTACACACGAGTTTGGTTAACATGTAATAACGTAAAAAAATTTTAGCACAATGGTATTTTTGGATTTTTTTGAAAAAATAAATAAATATGTAGGTGTATATACGAGCATATGAAAAATGTTTGGCTTTTTGCTTTTTGGCACAATCATAAAAAAAGAAATCGCAGTAATGCGAAATATTAAGTAGCGTCCTAGGTTCAGTATTCGTCTAATTGACCCGGAGGCCTTGGTCTTCCTCTAGAACGCATGGTATCAAGCCTGTTTTCAGATTTTTGATTGTTGGGCGGGGTATCGTAAGGTATGTTGAATGAAAACGTCATTGGACTGTGATCGGGTGGAGACTAGTTTAAATGAACGCATTGTGTTTGTAAGCGTGCTTATGTAATAATACAGATCCCTATTCATTGAAGAAGACGAAGAAGCTACAAATTCTCCTGAATGTTGGAGTGTCGTTCCATAACCGAGATATGCTGCAGCGTATCCAACGCCAGGTTTCACCGCATTGCAAATACCGAGTAAGACGAGTGTAAGAGCGTTAGTCCATTGTGAAATGCTTGCGGCTGAAAGTAGGGCCTTCAACTGTTGGTGAAAGCGTTTTACCAAACTGTTTGCTAGTTGGTGATAGACGGTCGTTTGGAATCACGTGATTCCTAATAGAGTGGGCAGATAACGGAAAAGTCCAGATTAGGACAGGTGTCCACGGCTTGTGGTGATAGTTGAAAAGCAGAAGACGTTTGCCACCCATCGTTCGACGAAGGCGTGGACCGCTGCTTCAATGTCCTCGATGGGTATTTCTTTTGGACATCGAGTGAAACAGTCTACATGAGTTAAGAGAAAAGTGTATCCACTGAAATATGACAAAGGTCCTATCGAATCCAGATGAACATAGTCGAAGCGGGCATTGGGAGTATTGAAAGGGACATTTGTTGTGTCTAATCAATTTGGATTTCTGGCAGCTTACGTAGGCACATGCCCGCTCCCTTATGTATTTATTCATATCTGGCCAGCAAAATCGTTCTGCTACGAACTTGATGGTTTCACGAACACCTGTACGAGAAAGCTTGTGCGACGTTGAAGGATCCCTACATGTATAGGTGTCACAAATTAAGGTTTCCTTACCTGTTCCCATCTGTTTGACCCTTCGTTTCAGGATTGTCGATGACAACTCGTGATGAAGATTGGCTCCTTCTTTCTGAAGCTGGATGAGTTTAAGAACGTCGATTCCGTGTAAACCGTGAAAGGATAATATACGGGACAATGCGTAAGCGACTATATCGTCTGCCGCAGAAATATGTCGTATATCTGCGAAATCTGGTCTAGTTGTCAAGACTATCAAGGGGAGTACTTATCTGAAGACGAGCTTAGAAAGTTGAAAGGTTTATACTCGATAAACAGAGTGAATTCTCGGTCTTCCACGGAGTATTGAAAGTTTATAGCGATTAGTCCCTTCTTATAAATTTCGATAGAATAATGAGAAGACGGAGTTGATATGAAAAATCTGATGTATTTGCACTATACATTTCGAAGAACCTGGCCACACGTATACTTGTCAGGGTATTTTATATGAAAATCAATAAAAGTCAATTAAATGAAAGTTCAAGTAAAAAAGTAAC